ATATAATATATAGATATGTACATTTGTAAAAGTTAAGACCACACCGTTTGAAAATTTTGAAAAATTTTGTAAGGTTAAGTTATGTATATTACAAGTTTGTACTGTTCGTACACACACTGTATATATCGCGTTCCATTTACTGTGGCAAACTGTGCTCGAGTGTGTTAATCTGTGTCGATTTGTGTCCCTTAAAAGGAAAGCAGCCTATATTGTCTGCACCGTAACATTGAGCTTCAGGTCGGCACCGTACTAGCCAGGGTTGCAATCCACCATATATGTAATACTCCTATATTGCTAGTACGGTGCCGACCTGAAGCTCACCGTTACGGTGCAGACAATATAGTAGCCTCTCTCTCCAGCTGCTTTGTGCGCATGCGGTGAACATTCAAGCACGCTTGCGCATTTCTCTTTCTCGCGTTCTTTCTCTCACTTTCTAATGCTTTGTCTCGCTTGCACTCACTTGGTAGATGCGCCTGCGCATAATGACGCTCGACCATCTATGCCCATATTTGGACTTCGTGCGTCTCCCTTTCTCGGGCCTCGTGCCTCTCATTGCGAAGATACGCGACTAGCAATATAGGAGTATTACATATATGCAATCCACAACATAACTAGCTCCATCTCTTCTTTTCTCCTTTCCTACTCCCTCTCTTTTCTACTCCACCTGTACCAGTGTTTTCCCGCACTTAATCCTAGTACACAGCGCAGGCAGCAGTTAAACCTATTTGAAACTCACGCTATCAAAGACTGGCCATTGCCTAAACCTTCCAAGGGCACGGTGCCATAATTGCAAAGAAGAACTTGAATAGTTGATTCTCTTTCTCTTCTCTTGTGAGCCGTATCGGTTGAATGTGTGTTACGCTGTGAATATTTTTGGACAATTGTCGGTGTTTTACACCACATTTTCGGTGTTTTATACCACTTTCTTTATTATTATCTTTAATTTAAACAAATTTACAACTCTGTGGCTTGGCGTCAGGAACCCAATCCACGGTTTTAAGTCTGTTATCAAAAAGACATAGAATGGCGTATGGACTAGCTTTATAGGTCCACTGAGCCAAAAGAGCACTAACTAACTAACTAACTTGAATAGTTGAGCCACAACTGCACCAAACCACCAAACCAACTTGAATAGTCTTACAAAACTGATTAGTCAATTTACCGATTAGTGTACATTTTATGTATAATTACTTTTGCCATAATTATATATAATTTTTTTTTTCAATCGTACTAATTGCCACGATATATTGAATGTAGTAACAGGCTGCAGAATTTGTTACTACAATTTTTACGAAATTTCTACTAATAATAAATAATACAGATTAATGTAAAACATGTCAACATCGGAGTCAGCTGTAACTTTTGCAAAGCTCGAAGCTTTAAAAGATATCAGGTATATAATTTAATGGTATACACATTTAATAATATATATATTTTATATACATGTAAATTATATATAATATGTGTGTGTGAAAATTGACATTGTTTATATAGCTACAATATCTTTTTGTGGTTTTCTAGGTCAAAAACTCTTCAGTTGGAAAAATTGAAACAAAGGATACTACAAGAAGTAGAACAAACAGAACAGGAAGAAAAGTGTTTATTAGAATACAAACAGGAGATGGATTTGCTGATGCAAGAGAAAATGGCACATGTAGAAGAACTACGTCAGATACATGCAGACATAAATGCAGTAAATTATATTGCTTATTGTTTATGTTTTGCTGTATGAAAAAACAAATTGTATTTGTATATAAAAATAATCAAAATTGTATAATATAATATTGTAATAATAGTATAATGTATAATAAAATTTAATATAGTAATTTCTGTTTAGATGGAATCTGTAATCAAGCAGGCAGAAGAAGCACGTAACAGAGCAAGAGAAACTGCAAAATTGATACATAATAATGATTATCAACCATTAAAGAATGACATTGATCAATTGCGCAGAGAATTTTTGGGTTTGGAAAGGTTGCCAGAATTGTATGAAACTGAATCCGATCTTATTTCTCCTGAGTAAGTGTATTATTACAAAATATAAACTTTATAAGAAAAGTATATTTACATAAACTTTAAACTAAAGATCAAGTTACACATACTGCATCTGAGTCAAGCTTTTATTGTGTAGATGCTTTGTTCTTAGCTACTTTGAACGCCCAATGCAGAAGGCGGAGTGGAGGGTTGAAGTACCAAGTGATGATTTATTACCACCACTTGGACTGCATCATCCTGGACATCCAGGTGGTTCAGCACCTTTTCTAACTCCGCAACCGTTACAAGGACCAAGTAAACCAGAACCTAGACCACTACCACCCGCCTCAGGGCCTCCAGCTCCAACATTCAGGTACCACTGGTATATTTCAACTCTTTATTATATTTTTGCATAAGACTAAAAATATCACATTTATTATTGTTATTTCTAGATTTCTATTGTCATTTCTGTTGTTTTATTTCTGTCGATTTCTTTTGTTTTTAGGCAACAACCACCTCCTATGAAATCTTGTCTTTCATGCCATCAACAGATTCATAGAAATGCACCAATTTGTCCACTCTGTAAGGCAAAATCGCGTTCGCGTAATCCTAAGAAACCAAAGAAGAAAGATTAATTGTGATTAGAAATATATTTATATATAAATAATCTGCATTTCTATACAATTTATTTTAAAATACACATATATATTAATCATTTTTATAACCTATAGATACTGTGCACTTTTATTGTATCATTAGTATTTGTGAGTGATATCACATCACGCGTAAGAATATATACATATATATGTTTATACGTTAAGATCTTTGATGATACAATCTTTAGATTTTAAGATTTTATTGTATTTCGTATAACAAGTATATGTAACAAAAATGTAAAAAATAATAGTCAAATAATTTCTACTACTGCAACAATTTCTACTACTAAACAAATAAAACATTTCACAATGCGTTTTATTATTTTTTTACCAATATATAAAAAAAAATCTTGTACATGATAATATTATATGTGTCAATGTGCATTTACAAAGAATGAATCAAGAATAAATACGATATTTGCAATCAAGTATAAAAATACAAATTTATTTATTTTAACAATTAATAAAGAATTCTTAGACTCTGAAAGTTTCTAAACAGAGAAAATATAAATACGGTCATAAGAGCTGTTTGCAGGATGTGCGGAAATATGCGTGTATATATCCAGCAAACAATTTCTGTTTTTGACAATTTCGGCGCAGACTTTGGCAAAAGAAACTGTTTGCAGAAATGCTAAAATACGGAAACACTGCCAAAACTGTTAGCACACAAAAAGAAAAAACGCAACAACTCTGTTGAATAAATACATGAGAGTATTGCGGCCAAAACGATTCCATATGTTAGTAAAATTGACAACAAATAGATGGTCGATTGCAAGCAGATCTGCTTTTAGCAATACTATGACCAAACAGTTCGCAAAACCGTACCAGAGATCTGTTTACGACAAAAGTCGGGTCGATCTGTTAAACGCATTGACGACAGATTGCCATCAAACGCCAAGCAGATCTGTTTGTGTATACGTGCGGACTGTTTGCAATTTGGCGCCAATAGACAATGACCAAACCTATTCCGGATTTTGGCTTCACTTTGGCGATAATTTGGCCTCGCTTTGCTTGTGGCAGACTCTGTCATCATTTTGGGCGCATTTTGACATTTCACATGTTGACAGACACGTCCAGATAACCAAAACTGAATGAGCATAGTTTGCAAAGTCTGCAATAATACATTATGCCAGTACAGTGTAGCCAGTATTCATAAACATAATCTGTTATTGCAACTAGTGTTGAAAGAAAAACAGAAAAAAAAAAGAATATAAATGTGTCATGCCGTGATGCAAATATTATTGTATCAATCAAGCAGAACTTGCTCAAAAAATGTAGCAGATTTGAAGCATAACGTGCTGTTGTCATTTCATTCTTCATTTATTTCTATATTTTTGCTGTGTTGTTTTCTTTACATATCATGCCTACATACTTCACTCACTATGATGACATAGCTGAGTGGAATCTGCTGCTAAGTGCTGATACACGATTCGTTTTGATACGCAGACAAATAAACGCTAATTTTAGAGTTAATTTTAACAAACTATCTTGTTCTGGAGGATTAGCGAATCCCGTGTGCGGATTCAGGCCTCGGAGAAAAGCCTTTTGTAACCGAGGTGAGCGAGTGCACCAGCAGTCGCTTTACCACATTGTATATTTATTGACACACATGTATCTAGTAAAAAAAAAGTTTTCTTTTCGCTATTCCAGTGCACGGAAAAAATATTGTTAAAGTTTTTTTCTCAAAGTAAGAAATTAGTTATGAAATATTAGTTATGTGGGTAGCAAGAAAATTTTGTCAAATCTCTTAAGATTTGTATTTTGCCAAACAACAGTTTTGTTGAAAACAAAAATTTAGACTCACCAAGAAAAAAAATAGATTTATACTCAACTAGATTTAGACTCAAATGTTTCTTGCTAGCCGTATAATAGAAAACATAGAAAAACTGTTTTTTTTTCACCTTTGACCATCTATAAAATTTTACGCAGAGGTCGCATCAGTAGGAATTTTTGAGACATTGTTTAAAACGACGAAATAAAGGTCCATGCCATATATGTAATACTCCTATATGGCTAGTTGAGCAAGTTTTCCATAAGCGGGACTTGTCCCAACACTGAAGGATAGAAGATAGATGCTTATTGGCTGTCCAAGAAAGAGTAGGAGGAGTGTTTAATGATTGGTAATGCGCAAGCGTTGCGGGAAAATTTTGAGGTTATACTTCACGTCACATGTGCTATAGATTTTCAGTACTGGCAGTGAATATCGGAACGCAGTCAATATAAGCCTTTGACTATATAAATATGGACTGCTAGTCGGGAGCAGAGATGCCAGATCGCGCCGGACAGCATCGAGAGTATCGAAGCGGGGTATCCCCACCGCCTCGATGCTGTCGTACGCATACAAGCGAGAACCGCACACGGACGCTGTTTTCGCTTGTATGCGTACGAGAGTATCGAAGGCGGTGGGGATACCCCGCTTCGATACTCTCGATGCTCTCCGGCGCGATCTGGCATCTCTG